TTTTATTTTTGACGGTAGGAATTTGTCGAATCATTATTCCCTTCCGAAACAATATCATTCGTACCCTCCTATCGACACATCGGGGTGGTGGGGTGGGAGGGGAAAGAAGACGATTCTAGAACATCGCGTAATCATCGGACCCGAGGATATATAAGACACGCGCGACCGACGCGCTCTCTTCTCCCGCCGCAGTCGTCGTTGAACTACAACCTCCTCTTCCCGCGCGCTCGTTTGGAAACACCTCACTAGTGGAAACCGCTTTGGCCTGGAAGCAGTCGAGCTCCAGGAACCCGCCTCACCTCGTGTGAGATATCGTCGCGCACCGCCTCTCCGGAGTGTTCCGGAAGTCGCCGCCATAGTGATCGACAGGAAGAAGAAACCCCGGTGAGTCAATACTCCTTAATTATACCTGCTTGCTAATAATTTAACCCGCTCCAATTTGTGTTTTTTTCCTAGTCAAGCAGGATTCCTTTCATCGATTCGACAAGTAATAGTTTAGTTTAGGGAAGAGCGAGTGCATTGTACCGCATGCTATAGTAGTCGCTTCACATAAGCATAGAAGCAATCGCATATACAGTCCACTTTAGTTAATATCTCGCGTAATAGGTTTGAGGTTTGACCGGGGGAACTAGATTTTCGGCAGCCTTAAACACGTGGCTCCACCATTTTATGGTCACTTCGGCAGGATCTGGATTGGTGTTTAGTGGTTATCCAACCATTTTCTGGTCGAATTATTAAATTAATTGTTTAGATAACGCACTCTAACTTATGGAATAGACTTAAATAGTGTTCGTTTAAATTAAAATTTTGATTTGTTACTCGCAAACAGAATTATTCATTTAATAGCGCTCGTATTTGGTTAAATTTAAAGCTTATTAAATAATTGAAACGGCGTGATAGCAACCGTTTGATACGCTTACCCCACAATTTTATAAAATTATTAGGTTTAGCAAACGACGCGTAGCCTTGACTGCATCGGGCGCTCGATCTGATTACGTAATACAGCACGCCGAGTATTCATCCTACGTCGTTTATGCGTGTGAGATTAATTGTGATTAATATAACTTTATTATAATAATTTAAAATGGCAGTTAGTGGAAGTGAAATCAAAATTAAAACGCTTTATGCCAAGAGGGACATACTCTTTTCGCGTGTGCAAAATATAAGTGATTATATAAAGAACATTCATATAGAGGCAGTACGGGAGGCCTTTTTAAATGAAATCGAAACGATTGATAATTTGCGGACAGATTACGAAAGAATATTAGACCAAATTAATCATTCGGAACTACAAACCGACCCGAAATACATAGTGAACTACCAACCGCTGCTGGCATTCGAAGATATGTTGTGTCGCGTGAAGAGAACCGCAAAATTGCTACAATCTCAAGGTGAAGCGAAGCCTGAAATGCAGGTACGCCCTCGTGACTCAATTAGGTTACCGCCAATAGATATTCCGGTATTCAATGGTGATATTAAGACGTGGCCCTTCTTCTTCAGTAGTTTTCAAAACAATATACACAACAACCCATCGTTATCGGACGCTGAAAAATTATATTACTTAATTAGCAAACTTAGTGGCAGAGCACAGTCGATCTGCTCGGGTTTTACACCTACAGCAAACAATTACGTATTAATATTTGAAACGCTTAAAACTAAATATGAAGATAGGAGAATGTTAGCTTCCGAATATTTGAACCAGATATTCGATCTTAAACCTATATCATCCGCGAACATCAACGGCTTAGAGCAGTTTCTCGATAAATTTGTGGCATCGGTGGCTGCACTTAAGAATTTGAAGTTTAATGACCTCATGGACGTGGTGTTTCTCCATATAGCATTGAAGAAACTAGACTCCGACACCGTGCGTGCGTTTGAAATGGAGCATCGTAGCTCGGAGATGCCTTCCTTTCATTCATTAGCATCGTTCGTGCGAGATCAAATAAAGGTGATGCAGCGCTCACCGAACGTTAAACAGGAGATTAAAAGGTGCGTCGACCGTAGACAGACTCAATCATCTAAAATAGCAGGGTCGTTAACTTACGTAACCGCTACGCCGACATCGCTCCAGCATACTTGTATAGTATGTAAAGATAAACACGGTAACTTATATAACTGTGCGACTTTTCGTAAATATTCACCAAGCGAACGTTATAAGTTAGTAAAGACAAACAACCTATGTTTGAACTGCTTAAGCGATAAGCATTTAGTTGCAAAATGCAATTCGAGTTCCGTATGTAGCAAGTGCGCCAGGAAACATCACACGCTATTACATTTTGAAAATA